GAAGATCACCTTACGCCACCAATCCATAGAATTTTTCTAGTTTCCTTAAATTTAATCTTCTGCAACTCCGGCCACCGCCAAACCTGCCGATATCTCCTCCCTCTGTCTGATCTATATCATTGAAAATGAACAAAACCAAGAGATAAGCGCATATATCTATGCTTTGCACAGATGAGAAAAGGAAAGGCAGCTTGGTTTTTGGCTTAATTAACTTGGGTAGTACAAGTAGTAGTAGTCGGATGCAACTTCCTCCACCATAACCATACTTAATTATTACTATTACAAACTCAATTTAAATAGCACACGAAATTCGGGCTTTTCGTTTCTGCTTTTGCGAATATAGAAGTGACAATGGCCACCGACACGTGACTAATACATTTAACTGATGAGAGATGTTCTTTTTATTATTATTATTATTATTATTCTTTCATTTAGAAAAGAATATTACAATAATTTTTTGTTTGATAAGAATATTGCAAGAATACCACCAGTTTGCTTTGGCCAAATAATAGTATTATTTAATTTCTAGTGCTTTTTTCCACCCCGTTTATACAATATATTGTTAAGGGTTGGTGAGTAAATTTCTCGCTATATTTTAGTTACAATTGAAATGTGTTATTATGTTTTATTTTGACTTATATTTTTTACTGTAATTTGAATTAAAGATAAATTTTTCACTATATTTTTTTAACTAATCATTGATATCTAATCTATTGATCGATTAATCTGTAGAGACGATGACAGCTCACTCAATGCAGATCTATTTTTCCACTATATTTAATTTAATTTTAATTGGATTTTTTCATTCGAGATTTATTTTAACCGGATTTCCTCAATTATTCTCTTATAAAAAAATCAACTGTAAAATTCAATAAAAACAAGAAAAATAGTGATACATTTCAACATTCATATATAGTATGTATCTTGACAAATTCCATTACCTTGCCATTATTAATAAAAAATTAACTGACCATATTCCCATATGTAATGGGGGTAAGAGAAAGATAGGATAGTAGGTTACCCCTAACGTCAGGTTGAGAACAACTTCCGTGAAAGACCTCCGTTATGAATTGCCCTCAGTGAGACTCGATCCCACGACCACTACTCTACCAACTGAACTAGACGGACAATTCTCCTTACCATTATTAATAATAATAATTCCTAAATCATTTATTTGTCGTTTTTTTTTGCATAATAATTGTATTTAATTGTTATTTGGCTCTAAGACTGTCGTTAATCTTCCACTATCTCGCTCTCTTTCTTCCACAGACTTTCTTTGTTTTCCATTTTTTCCCTCCTGTTTACCTTTCTTTTGTTTGACACATTGTTTCTTTTCTTTTCTAATGTTCACCAATCGCTCATATCGATTTGACCAATGCTGACAAGTCATTCAACACTTAATTATCTCTATTTTAAATGGATTATTTTATAAATATAAATATAAATTTTTATTTTTCTTTATTTAATAAATACTTTCATTCTGTTATAAAAACAGTTAAAGTTTTTATTTTGTCTCATAGAAATTTCTTTTAGATTTAGTTTTATTAACACCTTTTTATGGATGTTTAGTCATTTTTTAACATAGTTATTTGAAATTTCTAAGATAATTGTATTTCGAGCATAATACTTTATTTGAAAACCTATTATTATAAGTGCCCAGATAATGTAATGGAGAAAAAGAATTTCTCGAGTATTGTATTCGAATTTTTATTTTCTCAATTAGTATGATATTTACAATGTTCAATGAAGACATCAGAATTGAAGAGCGACTTTGAGAAATATGATCCGATCCGATGACATCTTTTAATCTCTGTGCATGACTTTGATCAGCTCTGTTCCAAATCTATTTGTCCTCCATTGCACCAGATATAATTTACCATGCACGGAGGGTTTTGCATCGTCCGGACGATAGACCTCTAAACCTGTTTTGATTGCAAAACAGTCGAAAGACCTTCAAATATGTCCGTCCTCCATTACATCAGAGATAATTAACCATTCACGGAGGTTTTTCCCATAAAATGTCCGTCTTTCTCATAACTATGTAGATAACTAAATGTCACCTTAGTTAAAAAATAAAAACTCAAGTCCAATACACATGAAATCCTTTTCCCTACCATATTATCTGGACAATTTTACCTTGTTAATGGGGAAGACTTCTTGAATAATGTAGATTTTTCATTAATGCTTAAATTTGAGTGTATTAAATATATTTATTAATATGATTAATAATCTCTTAAAAATATAATTATTATATTAATAATCTTTTATTAGGAATGAAATTCTAAATTTTAAAATTATAATAAAAATAATAATTCCTTCAAAAATAATAATAAACATTTATCCTCCTTTAAAAATCATCGTATTAAAGGAAAGTGGGTGTTTACCTGAATTGGACCTTTCTTATGCCATTTGCTTTCATTTAAGTATCAATTTTAGGGTCCCTTTAATCAATATGTGATCTACTTTCTTATTTTTAATGTATTATTTTATAAAATCGATATTTATTAAACTTTCATCCTTAAAAATATAATTTTTTTAACTTTATCTAAATTATTAAAAACTAATTTAGCATGATAATTATTTTACAAGATTCAAGTTTGATTGGCAATTTAAGTTTTTTCCTCAATATGGTAAGAAAATTAAGTAAAAATTACTGCGTGACAAAAATATACGTAATTTAAATTTGGTATTTTAATACTCTATTGATTAGGAAAAGTAAGTGTCGGCAAGAGGGTCGGCCACGTAGCTAATAAGGAACCAGATATCGCAATCCAACGTGTCTGACCTGATTTTTTACCAAGTTTCTACCCAATCAAATATGACGTATAAATCTATCTATACTCACATATGGCACATGATACTTCTGTCGCGTGTTCAATTACTTAAAAATATATGTTTACTAAAGAATTATGATAATTTATATAATAAATTTTAAAATTTTCGTTATATATTTTTTCCTTAAAATTTATTAACATATAATAAATATTAATCATCAACATTTAATAACACTCATAAAAAATTAAAAAGTAAAATATAATCAATATATTTTAATGTTATAAATTACAAAATTTAAAACACTCGTTAAAATTATATGGCTCAGTTTAATGTTTAAATCTTTTATTTATTTCATTCAAGTGTAATATAAAAAAAAATCATAACTTGGCTCATAATTTTATAATTATCTTTAAAGAAAAAATCAATCAATTGATATTATATCAAAAAAAATATAATAATTAATGTAATTAATTATAAGTGACAATTCATTTTATTTTTTGACAAAACATTTGATGGTAGGTAAGCACTAAGAACCAAGTTGATTTTTTAAAAGTATTTAGTGGCTATTTTATATTTATATTTGTATTTTTATTGATTTATATTTTATTAGGTATTTTTTTAATATAATGAAAGAAGAATCTTTGTCTCTAGCGATAGTTACTTAGGTCGGATGACGAGTTTGTGACATTTGAAGGTTGTTATTTTTTCGAAAGACTTTATATATGTTATTATTTGGGGTAAAAAGATTTACAATTTCTTTGAAAATACATAAATTTTTTTATTCAATAATTAATATTTATATAAATTCTGATTTAATTTCTAATAAAATATGGATGATGCACATCTTGTATATCATATGTGACATCATATGAGTTAACATGTACACATCATACAATTTGTTTTTATTGCATTCTAGGGCATTTTCTTTTTAGTTTTTTGTTCAAGTTACACTTTAAAAAAAAGTAAATCTTGAAAATAAAGCATTTTGATTAAAGCTCTGTGCTGGTTTCGTCAACTTCAACTTGGTAATGTAAAGTAAATCAAAAATAGAAAACGGTGGTGGTCCAAGTCACTTAAACTTTATATAATGTGGAAGGCTCTTCATACCTAATACAACCCTAACCAATTAACACACCCATTTTCCTTTGCCGTCTTTGTGCCTAAAACACATCTCGCCCCACTTTTTGGAGTTTTCTTAGTGATATCAACACCTTTCTCCCACATGCACTTGTATATATGCATATAGTATTATGAAAAGGCAAGCTATACATATAATTAAATTAGCAAAATATGTATACTTTTAATTTTATATACATATCAATCATCACTACATGTGTCATATATCTTTATCTTATACATATACATATATTAACATATTTTTATTATCATACATTCATTTTGTCAACGCTTACAATTAGAAACTATTCGTGCTGAATTAATCGAGACTTAAGAATTTTGTATCCGAATATAATTCAAAGTTGTCGTAAATTAAATCAATCGTATACACTTTACTTTTGAATTTCTAAATACATATTTTTATGATCTTATGACAATATGTCCAAAAACTATTTAAAAAATAAAATATAAAAAGTATTATTGTTATATTTTTGACTAAAAGTATGTTTATTAAATAACAATAGATTCATACTAACGGAGGTAATCGAAGATTTTGTTCAATGAAAGTGTTTAAATATTATTTTTTTAATAATTAATAATTTATTATTTTATAATTGGTCTATTTTTTTATTTTTTTTTTGTTATCAGTGTTTTTATTAATTTATATTTTTTATAAATCACAATCATTATAAATTATCATATCAACATCATGAACTATCACATTAATATTATAATGGTCAATGTCGCTTCTCAATGGTCAAAGGGCCAAATTATTTTATTCATTTTTTTCTCATGAAAGTGTAAAATCCCATATACCATTAAATATAAAATATTTAACAAAATTAAATTAAATATACTAAATTTATTTCTGATAATTTTTAACAAGTTAATTTCTCTTATTTTTAATGATTAAACTAAATGTATACATGTCTTATAGATACAACAATTTAAACTTAAAGACTTATAAAATAATAACAGTCCCTTTAACCGTTAAAACCACTTGATGTATTATATACAGTATATGTACTTGAATGCAAAAGATGTGTTCTAAGAATGCATGTTTTTGGGTGGAATGTTAGCTTCCATAGCTTGAACCAACTCCTTGCCCTGATACTAAAGGGCATGGACCCATCGTCTGATAATTAAGGCCACAAATATGTGTGCGTCTAAATTAGGTTATACATGATTTAACTCCACATCTCAATAAACCAAAAACAGAGAGAGAGAGAGAGAGAGAGAGAGAGATCAACAGTGTTGATAATATTTTGTATTGTATGAGAGTCAGTCATCAAGGTTCTTCATGTACTCCTTTGAAAGTTTGGTCTCCATTATTAGCTGTTGATCCCTGAGGAGAGAATGCCCTGATTCAAGTAAAGCCTCTACCGTTTGCTGTTCAAACAAACATCCCACTCTCAGTCAATCCCATACAAGTTCACAAAGCTAAAACCATCTTTCACAAAATTCAACTTGTTTAGAACTACCTGTGGGGGAGTATATACGGGGAGCTCTTCATCCTTTCTTCGTCTCAGCAGCTTGTTTCCAAGTTTTTCAACTCCTCCAATATCCTCAACCCACTGCAATGGGAAAGGAGCAAGTAAGATGACCAAAATACTTTTAAATTACTTCTTTTCTTTGGACCAATGAGAAAATATATACATGTCCCAGCGGTGGCAAAAAGAACAGGTATTCACATATTAGATACCTTCCCACCATAAATGAAGAGTTACATACCTTTGAAATTGATCGGTCGTATGTTCGGGATCTAAGAGCTCCATAAAAATCCAAGGCTGTCCAAAAACCAAAGAGAAAAACAATTCAATATGCACTCTATACAATATACTTTAAGCAGGTAAGAATCAGGATTCCATAATAATCATTGTTGCTCCCTCCACACATTTGCTACAGAAATGATAGACAAAATCTAATCATGGAGATCATGCAGGATCCAAAAATACCTTGATTGGGAAACTTCTCCACAATGCTTACAACCTCATCCCTAGATATGCCATCTTTCTCATACATTCTGTGAACAATGTTCACAATATCTTCCTGAGTAGGCTGCCTGTATCACAAATGATGTGTTCGACGATAAATTAGTCGAAGGGAAACACATATAATTTTATTTGTTGACATTTACAACGACAAACACGGTAAGGAAGCAAAAAGAAAATGGAGCGAAGAATGAGAGAACTAGACATATCAAAAGCACATTAAAGCGAAGAAAAGATAGGAGCTTTTATTATCATGTACCAGTAGAACTTTTCCATCCTTCCATCACGAATCAAGGGAGCATAAAGGGTTGAAAAATCATTCCCTGTGACTATGATAGGGACTCTATTTGTTATGTCTGATTCTCGCCAATCTTGTCCAATGCTAACTCTAGTTGGATTATCTGACAAATTCATTAAGGTACCAGAAACAATCTGATTGTTTACTGTCATTTGAGTATTACCTAGATAAGACGAGAAAATATATAAAGTTCAAGGTAATGAATCAGTAAATAAGTGAACTTATTCATCAAAGGAATGTATGGAACTTAAAGCATAATCTGGTGCAGTTCAAGGTTTTCAGTGCCAGAAAAACATTAGCTCACCAAATCTACCAAGGCCAGCATCAATGTCATTGATCATCAGACAACTCATCTTGCCCTGTATTAGTTCAGAAAATTCAAACAAACAACCAGCTGAAAACAGTTGCAGAAAGCCATTAACAATGATGTGGAACATACATCAGCACACAGAGTATCTATAAATGTTTTTTTGAAAGCCCACATACTCTGATGGTCATTATTTTTCTATTTTCATGCTAATAAGTTTGCCATAGATCTGATTTCTACGGCAAGGGAACAAATTTAGCCTTTCCCTTCCCATCTCTGTCAGGCACTGATGAACTCCTCAAAATCGGACATGGAAATAGGAATTGCTGACAACAAAGTTACACTATTTCATCTTATCATTGTAAGTACTTGAAAAAGATAATTGATGAATAATTCGTTCATTGACACATTTTATATCATAGTATATCCCTAGTGAAAGGCTAATACCACATGCAGATTTTACCATAGGTACTAAAGAGTATTCTTAAACTTCAACTTCATAAACCTAGACATACATATATGAAGAATGAGGGTGGTAAAGCTTCTAACTTGGTTCTGGACCACTTGGGAAGCTGTTCTGTAGCGTTCACGTATTAATTTTCCTGGTTCTCCTGTTAAGGAAACAATGATTTGAATGCACTATGTCTTTTCACATAGAAGGAAAATAACTGAACGGAGAGGATCTCCTCATATTCTTTCAGAAAAAGTAGCATTTGACATATGTGTGTGTATATATATCAGCAAGGAAGGGAACACAGCAGAAACTTGTCTTACCAGCCCATTCAGATTCTAGTTCCCCAGCAGACATAATTACAGGTACAATCCCCATAGCCTGAAAAATGAGTTCAGTTTGGAATGTTTTCCCTTGACCTTTCCCTCCCCAGACACCTGTAAGTCAAAATCCAATGGTTCAGAAATTAAATAATGGAGAATTACAAGATACTACATGATTTTGTGAGAAATGCATGTCAGGAAAAGAATCTGCAGTCCATATAAGATATTTCAAATGCATACCTAGAATCAAAGGAACTTTCACATTGAGAAGATGAGCAATGTAGTTCTTCACGATGTGGCATGCTACACAGTAAGTAGAACCGGAAAACAGGTCATATGTGAGAAGACAAATGATAGAATGATTTTCATTTGTTGTAAAATCTGAAAGTCATAATAATAGTATAAAAAGCTAAGAATCAAGTTACAAAATACGAGAAGGTTGGCAAGTGGAAGATCGCACATCAGAGATAATAAGATTATGGCGTGGTAAGCAGCGACAGATAATACTGAAGCATCGACAGTGATATATCAGATGTATCCCCCTACTAAAGCATGTAACAAAAACACCAACGCTATGGATATTCTAAAAAAAAGACTAAAGGTATGCACAGTTCAGTAATTCCTGCCGGATTTCCTACGATTCCTGTATCATTCATTGCGATCTTCTCATCTTAGCGTAATTTCATAGAACTTACCAACTTTATCCTGTCAACGAGAAAAGCAAACATAATACAGCATTAGCTTCTGACAAATCAAATAAACACAAAAGAAGCAGAAAGGAAATGCAAGATAATAGTAGCAAAAAGATGGTGAATTTCCACATTTTGGGTAAAGAAAACGGATCCTATGCTGATGTAGTAAGCTCAGAATACTTGGATAAAAGTAATTACATATCAACTGAAACTGAATTGAAAGCAACTATAAAATGAAGACTTTAAGCTCAAACCGGATAGTAAAGTTGAATTGAAAATTATTATATACCGATCAAAAGAAAAAAAGCATATATGACCAAAAATAACCACTTCAGGAAGGCAATGCGTCACATAACAAGCAGCTTGTGAACATGAGAAAGCAGTATGAGTTCATATATCAACCATCAAAATTTACCTATTTCAAAACTCCAAAATGTAGCATCATTCCACTTTAGTGAAAACAAATTTGAAAGAATTTCACAAAATTCATTTGCAATCGTTAAAGACCACCTCAAATTCAATTTAAGGTGCAAAACCCATTAGGTATAGGGAAAAAAAGTACTGTAAAATAAACAAGACACTGTAAAGCTAATTACATTCTAGTTCAAACCTATCAACCTGAATCATAAAAAGCCATCTTTAACTATTCTTTTCCAAAAGAAATCCAAATAATTATTAGCCTTAAAAAATTACCAAGAATGTAGGAGCAATGTAATAATCCCCTTGTAGATACTCAAAGGACCTCGTCACCTTCTGCCTGTAATCAAACACAATATCCGCTACAGATAAAAACAAAAAAACAAATCTTCAATTTCATTTCTTTAAACAGTTTGGTAGAAGTCAAATATATGAACAGGGAAAGCAAAGGGAGGAAAAATTACAGTCTTTGCCAAGAAAATTCCCAGTAAAAAGATCATCAATCACACCAGCTTTAGCACCAACAGCTATGTTCATGTTATCACCCTCTTGGCCAAGCCTGTAAAGATAATCTCTTCCTTCAGAATCTTTGGTTTCCCAGGAAGACTGCTCTGACAATTTCTTTGATTTCTTGGGATTATCCGTATTACTGTCATCACCGTCATTTTTTAATTGATTGGGAGTAGATTTTGAAGAAGAAGAAATTGAAAAGGAAGGAACTGGCGACAATAGCTTTGGAAAGGATGAAGGGAGAGTAGAAGGGAAAAAACATGGGACTCTGAACAGAGCCATATGGGTTTTCTGTAAAATAAGCAGTTTTTTTTTTTGGGTTCTGTGGTTCTTCTTAAATGGAGAGATTGCAAGTATCGGAACATTTAGCGCCACAAACAGACAAGTTACAGTTATGTGATTCTCCTTCTCAGCCACCTTTTCGAAACCCAAATGGCTAAAGTAGAAGGGAAAGAAGCATGAACCAATTAAGAATCAGCAGTTTTAGCCAACAGTTAATTTTCAAGTTGAGGCAAGTACCTGGAAGTAGTGCAATGATAGAATGTAGATGAATTAGTCCATAAATAAATGGGTTGCTATCAGATTGACATAATTCATTTGGAATTTGGATTTGATTAATAATTTGGTTTAGAAAAAACTGTCCTTTTTATGATTAGGTGAAAATTATAATCTAGTTTATGTAGTAGGACATGGGCAAGAAAATGAACGAAAAATGAATTCAAGACGTGTGGATTTCACTTGTTGGAATTAATCTGGTAAGTTTGCGGAGTTGTCTTAGAAATTCCTTCAGATAGCAGCAAGACAAAGCCAAATGATGTTCGCATAGTGATACCAATTTAAAAACCAAATCAATTATTACGCTGTATGCTTCCTGGTTTAAAGAGCATTAAACTTTAACCAAACTTCAGGACAAGTTGTGTTTGTTTTACATCTGGATGCTAAGAGACACTCCCCAATTATTAAAAACGATTTCACTAAAATTGCTGTTTCACATTCTTATCCTTGTCATTCTATACAGGGTTTCTTAGTTGCCCTGGCATCCGCCATGGTCATGAGTCCATTCAGCTCCACACGCATAACAAAATTGGTACTTGCACCTGCAACCACAAGCATAAACCAAGTCTAGTAAATCAATAGTTATTTCTTTGCATCAATATCTAAACAAAGAGCTTAAAATTAACCAGGGTTCTGCTCTCCCCCATCGAGGTGTTTGTTAATTTCAAAACGAATAGTGCTGAACATAAACAACTCGAATTTCTCAAACTACTTTATAATCAAGCATAAATCATAGACTAACCTGCAAGTCATATGCGGGCAACCTTCGGTTCTTTCTACCATGAAACGGCAACTGGGACAATTACGCCATTTTTGCTCCTTGGCAAGGTTCCTCACCATGAGATCATCCCTTCCTCTCTCATCCTCACTCAGCGTCTGATACTCCTCACAGCTGATCCCTTGATGCCATGGAACATTACATTGGGCACAAAACAATCTATTGCAGTTTGGACACTCGGTTTCTGCTATGATTTCTCCTTGGTTATCATTCAGCAACAAAGCCGAACAGTCCTTGAAAGGACAGTAAAGTCTCCCACCTGTTGCGCAAAGTAGCTCTTCACATAGTAAATCTTCCCAACGATCGATAGCCTCTTTAGGAAGCCGAGTCCTGCATGCTTCAAGCTCCAACATGACTCCACAACCCTCCCCGGGGCACATGATTATGGTTATATGTTGCTCCAGCCTTGTCTTTACGTATGTGCTAATGCAATCAACACAAAATGAGTGAGAGCATCCCGAGATTGTGAACATTTGATGCCTTTCTTTTCCATCAACACATATCTCACAGTAGCATCGGGAGGATTCACTGGCTTTTTTCGCAGATCTTCTTGGCTTTTGCTTAGGCATCAATGAGCTTGCTCCGGTATCGGTGGCCCTTGAGGTTGAGGATGGAGACGAGATGTTTTCTTTAGCTGAGAGCAACATTGCTTCTTGAAACTGCAACTCTTCAGCGATTTTGGCATCTAAATCTTCCAAATCCCCATCATCGTTTCCATAAAGAGCAGACCAATCAATCTCTCCTGCAAAATCGAAATAAGATGAAGCATTTGCCATGTTACAAGCACTTAATTGGAGTACCTATCTTCTTTACTTTCTATTAAATAGCCTTGATTTGTACCATGTGTATATAAATGGCAAAACTTTGAAGCTAACTTGCTAGGAACATGGCCTTTCTGATTTAACTTTCGCGTAAATTGCTAGGAAAATGTCCATTACGATCCAAGCAATTTATCAACAACTAAGCAACGGAAACTTGACTTCAGTACGCGTAAATTGCTAGGAAAATATAAGAGGAGATGAAACTTTGACTTGTGCTTTTAGTTATACTATTCACCCTCTCCAATTTTCGACATTTGTACAAAGAAATAATATGAAAATATAATCCTTCATATATTTACTATCCAATCTTTATTCCAGTACGGGCAACTTAGTTTTCAAGTTTCTATTTTAGAATTAGATTCCGTCAACATGAAAGAAAAAGAAGGTAAAATAACAATGAAGCCGAGTCCTATTATTATTATTATTATTATATCTGGCAAACATGAGTATTGCACGCAGATTTGACTTTTCCATGCATTTTAAATAACCCTTTTGTAATTGAGATTTGCCAGCGGAGATGCCATTTTTTTTTATTCAAAACCGGTTTGGATAGTACATAGACTCAATATAGCGACAATCCTTCCAACATAGTTTGTTCCATTCACAAATATAAAGATTCAAATCTCTAATCTTGCTTAAGAGATCTAGTGTCTCATACCACTAGATCAACTAGTTGTTGGCATTCCATTTAGTTAATAAAGTATCTTGTCTTTGTCGTAAGAAAAAGATGCTGTCATCCTCAATTATGAGAATGAAGATCATCAGACCACCACTGGCAAATGATTAAGGATTTGTTCCTATTGCAATAGTTCCTAGCACTCATCATCATTAGGGTGAAGATGTCTCGCCTTCTTTTATCCTTAATACGGAGCTGAGATTTTGTTGTTATACAACCAACATATTGGCACCAAGGAAATGTAGACTATATACACTTTTACAAGAAAGAGCATTAAATTTGAACCAAAACCATAATTTGCTCGAAAGTGATTCAGCTTGCATGGGTTACGAGGACCTGATGCACATATGTTTGATGTGTCTGCTGCAAATGAACTTTGGAGTGCAATTTTATAGACTATCTCTACTGTATATATTTAGATGAAAATCTCATATTTATTGATTGGTATACGGTGGGGGAGGAAAGAATATTGTTGATTTCATTGGTAACGTAGAACATATCCCACTCTTGGTGCAATATCTCTGATCAGTCTTGCGTTTGCTCCGCTTCCTTAGCCATTGTATTAATTAAAAACAAAGTGCAGCATGAGGAGCTCGAGCCGTGCAATGTTTCGCAGGCTTAGAACCATAAGCGCAGGTGCAAAAACTTGGCCTGGATCATGATCACCTGGGTTCCCCACCCCCCACTTTCATCACTTGTACAGGCAACCTTTGGCTGGTTTCGCACAATACACCTGATCCCAGTCCGGTGCAGGACAATGACAAATTGACAATCGCATAGCTGCGATACTGACTAAAAGTGTGAGATCTACCAGACTGGAAGATCTCATGTTGCATGCCAAAGCATTGGTTTCCTTTGAGAAATAAAGATTCCTACAAGAGAAAACCAAACTGAAAGGAGACTCACTGCACTTGAATGCCCTTCATGAGAGTGAGATTACCTGTTCTGTTTGCTTGTTTCTACTTTGTGACTGAACATTCAAGTATGGGAACTTATAAGTTCTCCCAAGATTATGAATAGAGAAAAGTGCCTAAAATTATCATGTAATTGACCAAAGACCTATATGCAAGATCGGTACAAGATATTTTTATCAGTATAGCTATATTTACTTGTTTTGGTTAAAACCGATCAGAAAATAGCACACTAAACAGAATGCAGTAGCTGAAGAAAACAAAGGTCATAAGGGAGTGCTCGTATCCATTCAATTAAGCATTCCTATGAAAGTATACTTTAGCAGTTTATTCTTTCACTTCGCTATTAGTGAAATACTAAAACTGCTAGCCTGTTTTCAAGAGCTGTTGTCTATCATATAAGCTTCTAGGGCACAGTTACGGTTTTATACTTGAGTATTGATGTGCATTTTAGCATGTAAATTGAACAAATAGACCACCACTAACTTGATCAATCAAGAACAAACTCCAATGGATAAACATCATTCACATAGTAGAATAATAACCAGCAATTCTCAGTACTAAATTGAACAAATGGTCCGACTTTTCACAAACTAGAGCATTAAACCAAATTAAACTCGCTCCACAGTTGATGCAAATAGTTTCTTTTAAGAGACTAAAAACAACTTAAGGGATGGATGGTAACATTTATTGTGGTCTTGTTGAGTTGTTGTGCTCTTAATTCCTCTGGCAACCACCGTGATTGGCATTCCACTTCTCTCCGCAACCATAACAAAACTGAAACTTACACCTGCAAGAACAATCATAGGACAACTCCCCTGTCAACCCCTAACACTCTTTTTAACAAGTTTTAAATCATACAATTCTAAGGAGTCCAGGTTAAACAAATCTATATGACTTCAAGGGAATTTTTCCAATTGCAGTATAAGCAAGGATAGAATCTACATCTAATCATCCAAATTCCGAAGACAAAGGCCAGTTGTTCATTATCATTGATGAATCAGTATCGTAAATTATTCGAATATTTCAACTGACCTGCAAGTCATATGTGGGCAACCAACTGTTCTTTCAACATAGTATTTGCACTTAGGGCACCTAGCCCATTTTCTCTCCTTGGCAAGTTCCCTCAACATGAGATCTTGTCTGCCTCTTTCATCCTCATTAAGCCTCTGGAATTCCGCACATTCAATCCCCGGATGCCATGGCACATAACACTGTGCACAAAACAACCTATGGCAAAAAGGGCACTCAGATTCTCTAATAACTTCCCCTCCGTCATTCAGCAACGAGGCCGAACAATCCCTGAAAGGGCAGTAAAATCTCTGGGATGCATTAATAAACTCCTGGCAAAGTGCATCTTCCCACCGATGGATTACCGCCCCAGGAAGCAGAGGCCTACAGTTATCGAGTTCCAAGACAGCTCCGCAATTCACTCCAGGGCACCTTATGACGGTCACGTTTTCTTCAACCCTTGTCAAAATATGCTTGCTCACGCAATCAGAACAGTAAGAGTGATTGCAACTTTCCGTTGTGAACATCTGATCGTTTTCTTTCCTCTCAACGCAAATCTCACAGAAGCTCATGGAGGATTCACCGGCTTCCTTCGTCTCCATGTCCATGAACCCCAGCAGAGGCACGGGTTGGATTAATATGGGAGATGAAGAATGGGCCATGCACGGGTTGCAGATGGTGCTTCTGTTACCCATGTTCGAAGAAACTGTTGATGACATGAGAGCCTCTTGAAACAGCAACTCTTGGGCATACTTGTCATCGGATGGTGGGAAGATTTCATCTTCGGGTTGGTCAAAGAGTGCCGAGTAGTATAAATCATCAACAAAATCAAGATCGGATGATGGTGCGATTTGTGCCATGCTGACGTATAGCAAAGACTCTTTACTGTCTCTAAACACTACAGAATTCCCTTTCTTATATGTCTGACAATGATACTCAGTTTAATTTAATCATTAAATTTTTAATTTATTCTTTTTTAAAGCATTCAAACACTAAATAAAAAAAATATTGATATGACCGTCATGTATGTTGATATAGACCAATTTTTTATAATCACATATCATCTACTTCATTTTTCATTTTCTTAGTTTATCTTTTTCTTCCCAAAATGAAATGTACAATTTCATCTCTTGTCACGTTAACACTGAAATTATAATTATTTGATATAATCTCTGACCATTGAATAAATTAATGAACTTTATCAATTTACATTTTTTTTAAATCACTTTAAAATTCATGAAATTCAACCCAACACCTAAAACTCATGAAGTCCCAAATCATTATAATCTACAATATTCATTTTCTTATCAATGTGAAATCAAGATATATAGTTTCTTTTTCTCCTTCCCTATCTTCTTCTAATTGTAACTTAAAAGAAGATGATTTATCGTCAAAAAATCAAAAAGAATATAAAGTTTAATTTTTTTTTAAAAGGATAGAGTTTTTTTATAATTTTTTTAAAAATAAATATATGTTCATAATGTTGTTAAGTATTTAATGACGGGTGATAACAATAAATGAATAAAATATGAGAAAATAAAAAATTAGTATTTAAATTGATTTTTTTAAAACTTTATGATCAAAATAAGAGTGAGAAGGAAGTTGACTAGTAAAATTTGTAATTTACCCTTCTAACAAAATGGAGGAAGCGCCATGGCTCTTCTAGTAATTTAGCACTGAGGATCCCTAGGGAGCTCCTTCATCAAGGGGGTAACCTCAAAATCCGTTCCCTTCTTTATCAATAAATCTCGACTTATTTACATTTATTTCGAAATTAAACAAGCTCTTCCGTTGGTCATTAGTGGGAAATAAAGCACAATTATACTATATGAAATATTCTTTTGATGGACTTGATAATTTTTTATTGTTACATATAAAATATAATTAATATATATTTTTACATCTGAATTTAAATTTAAAGTTCAGTTAAATATTTAAAAATTTTAAATCAAAAATTTAAATTTAATTTTAATGTTAGGTTGATTATATTACAATTTTTATCTCCGTTGTTTTAAAAATAAAATATTTAAATTATTAAATTTATCTTTTATTCAAAATTATCCAAATAATATAAAATATTAATCGTATTTAATATTTAATTTTGACTAATATATAAGCTGTTTTGTAAAATCAATTCAAATACTTAAAATAGGCATCTAAGCCCAGTACCCCACAATACAAGGTAATATTACTTCTCCAAGGAAGGAATGCCATGTTTTCTTTATCTGACGTTATTATAGTACTATAAATGAAGTACAAACCCTAGACAGAGTTCCATGGATAATGGATGTATACTAAAATTAGTTTAAAGATGTTTGATAATTTGAGAAATTCTACGTAGAAATAATAATAAAATTATTCTTTATCCTAAAAAAATATTATTCGATGTTAACCCTAAATCCTAATTTGTTGCGTCGGACTTTGTCCTGTAGACAATCATCGTTTACCTAATCCTCTTGCCCAACAAATCGAAGCAACTTTAGGAATAATTTGATTTTTTCACTTGGATTGTGACGGTGGTTGGCCGGATTTCTTTTTCCGATTGCTACCGTCTAGATTGGTGTTGTAGGCTCTTTAAGGCCCTCGCAAAGCACCAAAAACGTTTTCAACAACCTTGGACTAGGCCTGCTTTATTATGGACCAGATTTTATTAACATAACCTTGAAAACCTGTTACAGGGGTATGGTATGATAGAGGCAGGCCAGTTCTAGCAATGTGTTTGGGATTTGCCAAAGAACCATTTGAAATCAAATCCGGGACTCGCGGGACTGTGGTAAGGAACGCGGATATGAAAATTGTTGATCCCGACACTGCTTCTTCCTTACCACGAAACCACGCTGGAGAGATTTGCATTAAAGGAGATCAGATCATGAAAGGTAAATCACTAGAAAATATGACCATAAATTTGAAAATAAATTATGAACCTTTATGACCCTGAGGCCACGGCTAGGACCATTGACAAAGATGGCTGGTTACATACCGGGGACATTGGTTACATCGATAATGACGACGAAGTTGAAGGAATTGATCAAATACAAAGGCCTTCAAGTTGCTCCTACGGAGCTTGAAGCCATGCTCATTGCCCATTCTGATATCACCGATGCTGTTGTGGTCGGGTAAGTGAAAAGAATGGTTAATTTATAATCCATATTTATAGTAATATCATATCTAATTTATTGGTTTAATGTCTTTCTGGGTTACTTAAAATAAATATAATTGTCTGCAATTTTCAACATGAATGAAGTGGCGGCTGGCGAAATTCCTGTTGCGTTTGTGGTGAAATCAGACAAATCAGAAATCAGTGAGGATGAAATCAAGCGGTACATTTAGAAACAGGTAATAATAATTCTATTAACATATAGTAGAAGTTGAATTTGACCTATGAAAAATGTGACTTGACATATATACTCTGTTTTTTAATGGCGAAGGTGGCGTTTTACAAGAGAACAAGTCGTGTGTTCTTCATGGAAGCCATTCCAAAGGCACCGTCGGGGGAAAATTTGAGAAAGTAACTGAGAGCTAAACTAAAAATCATTGAAACCTGAATCCAGCCTTCCATGGAAGCCTGTGAAATGATATACTGATATACATCCAAGTGCAAGGAGTCACTGTCATAAAGAAATGGGTCAGTTCATATATGTTCAATCTGGCTAATACAACTTGTTAGAGGACAATCAAAATCATGTTTATTATTATTTGTTAAGATTGATTTATTTGTAAGAATACAACAAAGAAAACAGTTCACTGTGAAGGTTGCTTAACGTCTTTCTTCTCCGACAGGTGTATCAGACATTTGAGACACAAGTGGTACACTGTTATATTTCTAAAGGATACAGATGCAGTAATTATGCCTTGATCTCAGCACAATTACTAAAGATTGAAGACCATATGGTCCCATAATTGTGTTGAGTGCAATGAAATAATTTTCTAACCTGTTGCAGAAGATTAACATTCGAAATCCCATGCGCAGACAAAACTGTCGAATCAAACAGGCACTAAACATAAAGATCTAAAATCCCTTTATTATATGTAAACTCCTTAAGTGACAGTTCATACACTACATTACACAGTTGAACCATTACAACTGTAAGAAGCGTTTCTTCCATTGTTTCTACAGGTATTTCTCCAATTACCCAGAACCGGGAAAGTGAAGGGAAAAAAGAAGTAAATCTTTAATAAGGGCCTAATACTTTAACCTTAGTAGCAACAGGCAAACAACTTTTTGATACATTAATATAATTTTACCAACTCCCTGAGATCATGTTTGATGTCTGATTGGTGAAAAAGCAAGATTGCGGCAAGGCCATAAGATTCCACTGTTCCCCTTAAAACCTAATGGGATTACTCCAACCAGGTCAAAAACACAAAAGGAAAAATCTAGGAGAAAATTTGTATATACATATACGCCACACTGGAGCTCCATAGAACCAAGACAGGATAAGCATGATTGATGAAGCCTAATTGATCAAAAGTCATCAAGAAAAACATGGTCTACGCTGAAGAGTGCGGCTGGTGTTGCTGCTTGTCTAGTCATCGCCGTGAATGTACCAACAAAGGAGTATGGTAGCACAGCGGCGCACGATGTAGATTCGAGCACGTTGTTGTTTTACCAAGGAGGCACACTTGGAGGAGAAGCCATACCCTTTTTCTTAGGAGAGGCCTTAATTCCATGGTTGTATTGCTGCGACTGAAACTCACCCATGGTTAATACAAAAGTGTTATTTTACCAGATTTGCAGGGATAAAGAGAAGGGAAAAAAAGCTCAACCTAGAGCTTGAATTCGTGTGGGTTAAGGGTAAAGCACATATATATATACAATTAGAATTCCGAAATCCAATAAAGGTTAACTGAGATATGAAGGAAGCAAGTGAACGTGTAGATTCAAAAACTGAGGAGTTTGAATTTGCATGGAATATGCAAAATAGTTTTTTATATATATATATATAAAACTAGGGGAGTGGACGTAGTTTCGAGGCGTTTATTGCTTAATAATTCAATGAAACGATACCCTTACACAACAAAAGACTACTTCCCTGCCTTCTCCTTTGTACTAATCTTTAATTGTTGGAAACAATGAGAATGATTAATAATTATTTAGTTAAGTAATGGGGATTAGAGAAGTGGCTGAGGATGAGCTTAAAAAGTGGAGAGCTGTTTAATGAAGACAAGGCAATGGATTTGGCTGATGGGAACAATGCCCCGGCAAGATGGCCTCAATTTTGAGGTAGGACGTTGGTTTGGTTGGATTGCTTGGATTTTATACACCGTGGCTCGTACTCCCAACACACACACTCAGCTCTGTATGGGCAAAATTAACAAACTCTCCCCACTTGAGAGAATAAAATCTCCACCAATTTTTATGTCCTTTCAAATAATGGAAATGTAAGTGAACGAGAGATGTAAAAATCTCTCTCTTTCGAAATCCCAATATTGTATATGCTATGTAAATGGTAGTCATGGAATCAAAAGAGCAACTATGTTTGATCCACTGCATCAATGTTTATGGTATCATATATGTTATAAAAATGTTCATGGTATCCCCACCCAAGATATTGCATTCGGTAGCTGATTGTTATCATTAGACAGCTGGGTTTGCTTTAAGTGAAAGATCCTCACAATTCTTAACCAGAAGTGACTAGTCAGTGATCCATGCTGCCTATAGACAGCTCAAGTTAGTTTACCAACATTTTCTAAGTACATATTATCTGTTCATTTGAACAGTTTGGATATGTATATCCTAATCTTTTCCATGTATTACGTTTTCAAGCAAGTCAATATTCGTGACATGATTATCTCCAAAGATTATTCATTTTATTTTATTGCGAAAATTCTTGACGCAGAACTTGTATCTTTCGTCCCTATAACACCATGAAATGCTACT